CCCTGGCTAAACAATTTCTAATGTACCTAAAGGAGCAAATATTTGTTGTTGTTGTTAGCAGCAGTTTTTTGTGTATTCTGGATGCATCTACACAAGATGTTTACTGTGGAGTTGCCTAATTAGCTCCAACGTAAATGTCTCAGCATCTAGACATGCGGCCCTATTAGGCTGCAGGAAACTAAATAACTCTGCAGTAGGTTAGTACTTGTAAATTCAAGTACTCTCCTGATGCAGAGTTTTATCATGTGCAGCATTGCATGTGTAGATGCTGACCTGGCTGGTCAGAGCACAAGGGTGCTGCCTGCCAGCTAGCCCCACACTGGAGCACCCTCACACCCCAGCTATCCCCTCCACAGCACATTGAGCTGGGTCAGAGCAGCCCTGTGCTGGCAGGTGCCTGACTCCCCAGGTGCCCTGCCAGCTGGGGCTACTCCGCCCTGGCTCAGTGTGCTGTGGTCCTGGCTGCACATTCAAACAACATGCCCAGGGGCAATAAACTGGAGTTTATTGCTGTGAATTACATGAGACTCTGAAGCCGAAATGCTATATGCTCTGTAGCTGAAAAATATTGTGCAGTAGCGTGTCACAGCACAGATAGTGCCAATATGCTACTGCACAGTTTTCTTTGGCTACTGCACAGTAGTGTCACCTAAGAGACGTTTGTCAGCGCTACTGCACAGTAACTCAGTTACTGCGCGTTTATTTAGTACTTGCAAATACAAATACTAAATAAATGCACAGTAACGACTGCACAGTAGCATCTCACGCAGACATGCTCTCTATGTAACAATTTAATACTTTTTTCCCTGTAGCTTCTTTTTGTTGAGTCTCTGAGAGACTCTGAAGGCAAGATTTTCAAAGGTATCAAGGCTTTTAAAGATGCAGATCAGCACCAGTATGTTCCTTGCCAGGTTAGGCACCAGTCTGTTGAAATAAACGTTTCATCTACAGCCAAGACCATCCCAAGCCTAACTCCCCAAGAACTGAGTTTTCTTTATTATTGAAGTTAAGGAATACTGTCTGCCCAAATTTTAAAATATTTGCTATTTTTCAAGTAGGAGAAAAAACTAATTTTTAAGTCAGTAAACAATATTCTGAGAAAATCCCTCTTCAAGTACATATACTATTAAATTTTAAATCATTTTGCACAAATTGAAGCTCATTTTTTAAGATCAGGAAGAGTGTTAAGCAAGCCCTAGAAGTCATATGATGCCCAGAACCTTTACTTCACAGTCCACTGGCATCTTTGAAATTGTTTAGAGAGTAAGGCACATTATCTGAAGCATAGTTGAACAAAGAAGTGAGGAGAGAAGTCTATGCTGATTTTGCCAGGTGTTTGTATTTGCACATTGCTGACTAAAAGATCCTATCTGAAGATATTGGTCATGGTCATGATTTTTCTTTTATTTGCACAGATGTAAATCAGAAGCAACTTTACTGAAGCCAATGGAGTTATGCTGAAGCAAAGCAGGAGTGATAGAGAATCAAGTCCATTTTGCTGCTGTGCCTTAGAAGTTACAAATCAAATGCTTTCAAGAGCACTGGCAAGTGCATGTCAAGATCCCTGATGCTTCAGACAGTGACTTCCTTCCTCTCAAACGTCTCAATTGAAAAACAGCATGAGAAGTAATAAACTGGTTGTATAACTTTCAGTAAAGTAAAACAAAACAGCGTTACAGATGTAAGTTTTGTTTCAGATTTAAAAAACCGTGCAATAAAACATCCATGCAAGTGCAATACAAAATAGCACACTTGGAATTATGTTATAAAGGACAAGGGGATGAAAAGCCAAAAAAAGACATTTGTAGATTCTTCTATGAGTGTATCGGTTTCTGATATTTAAATGCACCCACTGTTTTTAGAAAGGGTCAAAATATGTGGACTCTTCTATCTTATTTGCTAATTGCTACAAGATGTCCAATTCCCTTCTTACACTATAACATTCCTGTGAGAACTGAGTTACATGGTTGTGATTCATCCAGGTGCTTTTGCTTTATTTTGTTTTGACTTGTGTTTTGTTAAATGTGTGATCCAATTGTAATGCTGGAATTGTGTAGCATTAGTGTTCAAATAACTGCTGTTCATGGCAACAAAACTTCATGGCTCCACAAGCTTGTAAGGGGGAACTGTATTTTATGTTAATTAAAATAGGGGAGGGGACCCAAAACAGTGCTAGACTTGTTAGGTTTTATTCTACACCAATTCAGCCAAATGTCCCCAAACGTAGGTGGATGGCATAGATTCTTGCTATAAAGTAATACAAGATGAAGAATTAGTTCACTAACAAATTGGTGATGTGATATAAGATGAGATGAGATGAGATGATATAATACATAGTTGCATACAAGGGTTTGTAACAGCACTTTGTCCAACTAGGTGTTCATCTTCCTTATGCAGCCTAGATGCTGTGAAGGAGACTGCTGAACTGCTGGTAGAGATATAACAATCCTTCAAAAGCATAATTTCTATATATGTGTTTAATGTAACTGGTGGACTTTGTGCATCTGCATTGTAATTTCTGACACTGTTAACTTCCCCTGAGAGTTCTGGGGTGTATATTGTATTGGTCATGTTGCACTCTTCAGAAAAGCAGCATGAAAGGTAGACGAATACAGGAAACCCTCACTATTCGCTGGTTCGGCATTCGCGGTTTCAAATATTCGCAAATGCCAAGCCCACATCTTAAACACACTTAAAGGAGCTCCTCAGGAGCTCTGCACTTGCTGCCGTCGGGCTCCCGCTGCTGCCGCCACACTCCTGCTGCTGCTGCCATGCTCCTGACATCGCCAGAGCCGCTGTGCCTCCCGCAGCCGCTGGGGGAACTGCGTTCATGAACGCAGATGGTGTTTATGAACGCAGTGCCTTATTTGCGGATTTCGCCATTTGCGGGGGATACGAGAACGTATCCTCTGCGAATGGCAAGGGTCTCCTGTATTAGAATTGCACATCATCCATTTGTTTCCTATGTACAATGTACACATTAGGCCAAATTCAGTCAGGAAAAAGTGTCTACAACTCCCATTTGCTTCATTTGGCATTGCACTGACCTCTTTCATGACTAAATTTGACCTCTGATGGACAGGGTGAATCTGATGAGCACAAATGTAACTTGTGTTATCAGGATCTCAGTTTGGTTCGTTTGCGGATTATCTCACACTGAGGCTTTTGTAGGTTAGCGCTACCTTTCAAACTACAGTATAACCTCATGAATCCAGCATGCTCAGGACTGAGCACCTGCCGGAAATGAAAAATACTGGATTTTTAAAACTGGTTGTGGACTCGGGCCGGGGGAGTGGTGACTGGTCCTGGAGCCACAGTGCTGGTTGGTGGATTGTGGCGGGGGGCGCC